AGGCATCCACCTCGAAGCAGATAGCACAACACAGGAGTTCAAGCTGTACCACGGGAGAGGAGGTCTTTACATCGGCAAGGCCGTACTGAAGAATAACGTGTTCGTCCTCGACTTCGTCCCAGACTTAGGCACCGCCGACAGCGATGGAATCGTCACCTTCACCTCCTGGACACACCCACCGGATCTTGATCCTGATTTCAGCCCCGAAGGGTTCTGGTATTCACATACCATTCCTGAGGCAGAACAAATACGAGCATTAGCAACGATTCAACACTCGGCAGCAGCAGAGACAACACCGACAGCAGCAGAGGCAACATCGGCAGCAGCAGAGACAACACCGACAGCAGCAGAGGCAACATCGGCAGCAGCAGAGACAACATCAGCACCAATCCCGGGTTCTTCAACCGCACCAGCTCCGATCGACAACGACACTCCACCGACCCCTGCACAGCAGCTGAATCCAACACCTCGAGAAGTACATCGAAGCGCAAACGTCACCGCCAGTTTCTACTCCAACTCCGACGAATACTGACGCTCACCCAGACATCGCGCTGACGAAGACCTCTGGCACAAACGACTAGGACATCCAAGCAACACGACAATAAACAACACGATACGAGCAGGCATTCTTAACAAAGATTCACTACTCTTACCCGACGGCAGAGAACTTCGACGAATGAGAGGAACTTGCTTCACCTGTCCAGAAGCTGACTTACCGCATCAGCCCTTCGTCTCTCACCACAACCCGAGCGCACCCGCTTACGCACCACTCGAGAAAGTGTACAGCGATATCCTGTATAATCGCGAACCTGGACAAGAAGCATACAACTACACCATCACGTTCATCGACGCCGCCACACGCTATGTCTGGCATCTCAACCTTCTAAGCCGCGACATGGTCTTCCAAGCTTTCATCGCATGGCTTCCAGTAGCAGAACGAGAATCAGGTGTAAAACTAAAGAGCTTCCAGTCAGATGGAGCAGGGGAATACACGTCCCAGCAGTTCAAAGACTACCTGGCGGAACGAGGAATCAAGCGGCTCATCTCTCTCCCCTACGCCCATCAACAGCAGGGTGTAGCAGAAAGGATGAACAGGACCCTTCAAAACACCATGCGCAAGCTGCTACGTGGCATGCGGCTACCCCACCACCAGTGGCCCGAAGCAATGGACCACGCCGTCATGCTGCACAACTTGCTCTCGTCATCATCGCTCCCGAACAACGCATCACCGCACCTGCTGTGGACAGGAAAACAGGGCAGCACCAAAATGTTACGAAATTTCGGCTGCATGGTACAGTACCGACCCCCATCCGCACGCGCTGGCCGTTTCTCACAACGCGCACAGTGGGGACTACACCTGGGCATCGAAAAACACTACAACGCGTGGAAGATTTTTGACGTCCACTCAAAGGAAACAGTGGCAGCACGTGACGTCATTTTCTACGAACGACTCACTCTTTCGTCGTACCTGTACAACTTGGAGACCTCACGAGATGTCACAGGCGGATTTCGAGGGGACCGAGCCTTCGCCTCGGCAGAAGACGAAGCTGACCTGGACGAGCAGACCATGGACGGAGCTTCGGAGGAAGCCGGACCTCTCCCCTACTGCTCAGTGGACATTCCCATGGACGACGACAACCCACGCGACAGCATCAACGCCGAAGTCTTCTACGACTTCGCCGACAATGGTTACGTTACACCCGCCCGAGTCAACACCAACGAAGCCGAACGCGTAGGACCAAATTTCTTACCTGATTTAGAAGCCGGAGACGAAGCAGTATATCCCGAGGATCCAACACTCCCCCGCTACACACAAAGTGGCCTCCAGATACTCGGCCTCGTCACCGCCGTTCACGGCACCGCACTTCCTAAGGAGCCTGCGACGGTTCAGCAGGCTCTGGGGGGGGGACATAAGGAAAAATGGCGTGAGGCCATGGACAGGGAGCTAAAAGCACTGGAAGAACGGAACACCTGGAAGGTGGTTCCCATCAGCGTGGCACGCAACAAAACAGTGCTCACCGGAAAATGGGTCTTCCGTGTGAAGACAAAGGCAGACGGCACCATCGACAAGTTTAAGGCGCGCTGGGTCGTACGCGGCTTCGATCAAGAGCACGGACGCGATTTCACCGAGACGTTCGCCCCAGTCAGCCGACACACTTCACTTCGAATTCTTCTCGCGATCGCCGCCATGAAGAGGAAGAAGCTGCGGCAAATCGACGTCGCGAATGCATTCCTCTACGCACCTGTTGACGCCGAGATCTTTGTCGAGCTTCCACACGGCTCCAACGGAGAACCCAATCGAGTCTGTCAGCTGCTGAAGTCGCTTTACGGCATCAAGCAAGCCCCGCGGCTATGGCAACAATACCTGCACGCTCGCCTCATTCGCATTGGCTTCAAACAACTACCGCATGATCAGGGCATGTACCGGCTCACGAATAACACCGACTACATCCTGTTAATCGTCTACGTAGACGATCTACTCTACATCGGCTCGACCGACGGCATCACAACCTGGTTCGAAGGGGAGCTGCAGAAGGACCTCACACTCACGGTCTCATCTACCGTCGCACAGTACCTCGGCCTCAACATCCGAGAAGAGGAAGACGCGATTTACCTCAATGCCGCGAAATACGCCGACACCATAGCCAAGCGCTTCGCACTCACACCGACCGCCATCTCCACACCATACCGCTACACGACAGGAAGCGACAAGGGAAGCTCCGCTCTACTTAAGCCCGCCGGTATACGCGACTACCAAAGGAAACTGGGTTGCCTCCTTTTCGCAGCCGTCACCTGCCGCCCGGACCTATCATACTCCGCAAGCCAGCTCGCCACCTACCTCAAGAAGCCTGAAACGGAACACCTGGCGGAGCTCGACCGCGCTCTTCACTATCTCGTCAGCACCCCGACGATCGGCTTGACTTACTACAAGAACACAACTACACCACCTAAGTTAATCGGCTACGTCGACGCCGATCACGCTGGCGACTCCGACAACAGGCGCTCTCGCACTGGCTACATCTACCTCCTCGAAACTATTGGACCTATCTCTTGGCAGTCGAGCAAGCAGGAATTAATCGCCCTCTCGTCAGCTGAAGCAGAATATATTGCACTCTGTTCAGCCACCAAGGAGGGACTTTACCTTCGCGAATTGCTGGAAGAAGCAAAGCTGGCTCAGTTACCCAGCTTCACTCTGTTCTGCGACAACCAGTCGGCAATTCGCATTGCCAACAAGAACGGCTTCGCGAACAGGACGAAACACATCGCCCTGCGATATTTCTTCGTGAAGGATGAAATCGAGAAAGGGAGACTCGAGCTGTCATACTGCCCCACGTCCGAGATGGCAGCTGACTACCTGACCAAGAAGCTCGGAAAACAGAAGTTCGAGTACTGCATGCTGCTGACTGGACAGAGCCACGTCACCAGCAGCGACACTCCAGAAGCGAAGGGGAGTGTTGGAAACAATAGATCTTAAGCGCCTCTGTCGTGTCGAAACACTAAGGCACAAACGAAGCGAAGCATACCGAAGCACCGGCGAGTCAACCCTCGGAGGTTGAAAGTAACTGTTGGAGGTTACGCGAGAGTCAAAGGTCAGCGACCTTTGACTTGACAAGTACAGCGCGACAGCAAGGACACACAACTGACTCGCTACAGAGCAGTTGCCCGAGTCGTCACTGTATCGAACCGCAACAGCAACAGTAAAGTAGTTACAACCGTATCTCTTCGTATTCCTTGTACTCTTATATAATCTTGTATCTCCTTGTTTTAATCAATCTACTTTGCCCTAACATACTAGCGCAAGGTTGTTCAAACACTTCTCATTAAGCTTCCGCTATTACAACAAGTCCTACTCAGAGTTTAGCCCTGCAAAGATCCTAAGGGCTTTTTCTCAGCCCAACACATCTTAAGTGTGCTGGCATCTCTGGTTGTTTTGAGCACTTGCTGGAACAGCTAAGGCGCATGAACATTTGAGCAGACATCTCGTATACTCAGACGGTGATTGCAACAATGAGACAGCTGGAAAAACTTCTCTGATGGGTTGCAACGGGCGTTGTACGATGTGGCAGCACGCTCAGGGAGGGCAGCATGATACTGAAGTGGATTGTGCAAGGCGTGCCGACGTGTAAGCGCTACAAAGTACTTCTCGTAGTGGCGCGTCGTGAACAAAATGCTCGCGACTTGATTTTCTGATGGCTGTGTTGTGATTTCGATGTGCAGGGAGTCGGTTTGCTCTCGCCTGTGACACTTGTGATTGGCCAGTCCACGACCGAACGATGCCAAGTTTTGCAATGGTAGCGAGATGAGTTCGCAAGTGTTCGCTAATACTATAACTCTTCAGGTGTCCGACGTGGACCGGCTCGCCGAACCAAACAAGCCTCCCCATTATAGTCCCACATTCGCTCAGGGAGCGGGTCCACGCTTAGGTCTGAGGTGGTTTGGTGGACTGGTCCTCATCGACCGCATAGAACCAGGGTGGAGCAAACCGGTCGCGGATGTCGCCGGTCTCGTCGCTGGCCCGCAGGCGTTGGGCTCCGAGATTGTCGATGTCTCTACCATGTTTCGGGTTTCGCAGCCAGGTTCGGATCTCGTTGCAAGGTCGCGGATTTGGCCGCCAAGGTGAAAATAGTTGGCAAAGCACTAAGAGATCCGCCCCCATGGAATGATCCCCTCAAGGCGATTATTTTCCACCACGATCATTTATATTGTATTATTTACAATGAAAAACTCATATCGGTAAAAGTGTAATATGTGGAGACGCGGGGTATCGATCCCCGTACCTATCGCATGCAAAGCGATCGCTCTACCATGTGAGCTACACCCCCGTGTGATATGGGAGGACAGTGTATTACATATCAAATATTCACTCCTTCATCGTCATGTTTCACGATTCTGAAAGCGATGGGATCGCGGACCCGCTGAGGATCATGACACGCATACACGCACGCCATGCTCCATCTAGTCGCCTGCCAATTTCGCTCGCGGCATTCCTCGTGGCGACGATGCTTTGCGACTGGCCGTGCGATTTGTCCAGAAAGACTGCATCGACGGTCGTGAGCGCTCTGGAAGGGGCGGCGGGAATGGAGCACGCCATGTCGTTGTATCGGGTGAGACAACAGCGGGAGAGCGCGCAGGCAGCCGCCACTGTTTTCCCATCCAGCAGCGCCCCTCGGTACCGCTGTGAACCGCACTGGCTTGCTCCGTCCGCCACAGCCTTCCACGAACCGGAAGCGCCCTGCCCACCGTGTCGACCCTTCATGGCCCACCCACCGTCGCCCTATCGCCCTCTGCCGCCGCCCCTCAAACCCGCTCCTCCGCTTTCTTATTCTCGCCGCCGTATACTCTCGACCCTTTCCCCCGCTCCCTCCTTGCTCACTCTTCCTCCCCATTCCCCTTCCCCTCTCCCTTCCCATTCGCTCCCCCCGCCCCGGCCCCCATCCCCCCCATTCACCCCCTCCCCCCCTCGAACCACACACACTCCTGCAGGCCTGGGCGGACGCCTACGGGCTCTCCCCCGACTCGCTGCTTCCGCCCTCCCCCCTCTCCCTTCCGCCCTCCCTCCCCCCCGCCCCTCATCTCGAGGACTGCGCCGCGCTCACAGCGCTGCGCCAGCAGGCGGAGCAGTGGGGGGAAGGGGGGGAGCCGCCAGCATGGGCGGACCCACAGCCCGCTCAAGGAGTGCGAGGGGCGCCGGAAGGTGGGGCGCAGGGGGAAGGGGAGGGGGGGGCGGCGTGCTGCAGGCGCGCAGCCTCTGGGGAGGCGAGCGGCGAGTTCAAGGCGTCAGTGACGGTTGGCGCTGCAGCAGCCGCCTCCGCCTCTCCTCCCCTCACTGCCTGCTGCTCGTGTGTTCCCCAGCCGCCCTGGGTGCGTGCCTGGTGCGTGGTGGGTTGGGGATGGTGGGTGGGCAGGCGGGCGGGTGGGTGGGCGAGCAGGCGGGTGGGTGGGCGAGCAGGCGGGTGGGTGGGCGAGCAGGCGGGTGGGTGGGTGGCCCGCTGAGGCTGGGCGTCGTGTGTCGCTCTCTACTACACCTGGGCATGTGCACTCCCGCCCGCACTCACTCTTGGGTCCACCCCTGACCACATTCCTCCGCTCCCCCTTTTCAACCATTGCCCCTTGACACACCCCTGCTTCCCATAACCGCACTCCCCATGTCGTGCGTTCCTGCTCCGTGCTGTTCCTCCTGTCTCCTGTTCGCATAGGTTGACAGTGCAGTGAGAATTGGAGTGGTGCATGCAGACGGGTGTTCGCTCTTCGCTCGTCTTCTCATCTCCGTGCTGTTCCTTCTTTTCCATGTTTCTCCTCGTCTCCTCGTCTTCTTGTATCCTCTTCTCCTCTCCTCATCTCCTCTTCTCTTCTTCTCCTCTCCTCATCTCCTCATCTCCTCTTCTCCTCTTCTCCTCTCCTCATCTCCTCTTCTCCTCTTCTCCTCTCCTCATCTCCTCTTCTCCTCTTCTCCTCTCCTCATCTCCTCTTCTCCTCTTCTCCTCTCCTCATCTCCTCTTCTCCTCTTCTCCTCTCCTCATCTCCTCTTCTCCTCTCCTCTTCTCCTCTTCTCCTCTCCTCATCTCCTCTTCTCCTCTTCTCCTCTCCTCATCTCCTCTTCTCCTCTTCTCATCTCCTCTTTTCCTCTTCTCCTCTCCTCTTCTCCTCTTCTCCTCTCCTCATCTCCTCTTCTCCTCTTCTCCTCTCCTCATCTCCTCTTCTCCTCTTCTCCTCTTCTCCTCTCCTCTTCTCCTCATCTCCTCTACTCCTCTTCTCCTCTTCTCCTCTCCTCGTCTCCGGCGCCCATGGTCGGGGCGTCGCATCGGCAGGTGCGAGGGGCGGACAGTGACAATCTGGCGCTAACCAGAGTGGTGCAGAGGGATGTGTGGGAGTGGCAGTTCCCCCCCTCCTGTGTCAGCCGCCGCCTGCTGGTGGTGCCATGGCCCGAGGACCAGTGGCATGGCATGGGGTCGCAGGTACACATGCTGGCATTGTATGCATGGCATGGCATGGGATGGCATGGCATGGGATGGCATGGCATGGCATGGCATGGCATGGGATGGCATGGCATGGCATGGCATGGCATGGCATGGGATGGCATGGCATGGCATGGCATGGCATGGCATGGCATGGGATGGGATGGCATGGCATGGCATGGCATGGCATGGCATGGGATGGCGTGGCATGGCATGGCATGGCATGGCATGGCGTGGCATGGCATGGCGTGGCATGGCATGGCATGGCATGGCGTGGCATGGCATGGCATGGCATGGCATGGCGTGGCATGGCGTGGCATGGCATGGCGTGGCATGGCATGGGGTCGCAGGTACACATGCTGGCATTGTATGCATGGCATGGCATGGGATGGCATGGCATGGGATGGCATGGCATGGCATGGCATGGCATGGGATGGCATGGCATGGCATGGCATGGCATGGCATGGGATGGCATGGCATGGCATGGCATGGCATGGCATGGCATGGGATGGGATGGCATGGCATGGCATGGCATGGCATGGCATGGGATGGCGTGGCATGGCATGGCATGGCATGGCATGGCGTGGCATGGCATGGCGTGGCATGGCATGGCATGGCATGGCGTGGCATGGCATGGCATGGCATGGCATGGCGTGGCATGGCGTGGCATGGCATGGCGTGGCATGGCATGGCATGGCGTGGCATGGCATGGCATGGCAGGACATGGCATGGCATGGCATGGCATGGCATGGCATGGCATGGCATGGCATGGCATGGCATGGCATGGCATGGCATGGCGTGGCATGGCATGGCGTGGCATGGCATGGCATGGCGTGGCATGGCATGGCGTGGCATGGGATGGCATGGCGTGGCATGGGATGACATGGCGTGGCATGGGATGGCATGATGAGCACCAGTGGGAGCCACGACTGATGCTCTTGGGCAGCAGTGTGTCCCTCCCAGAGTTGCTTAGGCTTAAGCTATCGAATGCGCGGATGCCCTGCGTCCCACCTCTCCTTGAGGCGTCCCACCTCTCCTTGAGGCGTCCCACCTCTCCTTGAGGCGTCCCACCTCTCCTTGAGGCGTCCCACCTCTCCTTGAGGCGTCCCACCTCTCCTTGAGGCGTCCCACCTCTCCTTGAGGCGCCCCACCTCTCCTTGAGGCGTCCCACCTCTCCTTGAGGCGTCCCACCTCTCCTTGAGGCGTCCCACCTCTCCTTGAGGCGTCCCACCTCTCCTTGAGGCGTCCCACCTCTCCTTGAGGCGTCCCACCTCTCCTTGAGGCGTCCCACCTCTCCTTGAGGCGTCCCACCTCTCCTTGAGGCGTCCCACCTCTCCTTGAGGCGTCCCACCTCTCCTTGAGGCGTCCCACCTCTCCTTGAAGCGTCCCACCTCTCCTTGAGGCGTCCCACCTCTCCTTGAGGCGTCCCACCTCTCCTTGAGGCGTCCCACCTCTCCTTGAGGCGTCCCACCTCTCCTTGAGGCGTCCCACCTCTCCTTGAGGCGTCCCACCTCTCCTTGAGGCGTCCCACCTCTCCTTGAGGCGTCCCACCTCTCCTTGAGGCGTCCCACCTCTCCTTGAGGCGTCCCACCTCTCCTTGAGGCGTCCCACCTCTCCTTGAGGCGTCCCACCTCTCCTTGAGGCGCCCCACCTCTCCTTGAGGCGTCCCACCTCTCCTTGAGGCGTCCCACCTCTCCTTGAGGCGTCCCACCTCTCCTTGAGGCGTCCCACCTCTCCTTGAGGCGCCCCACCTCTCCTTGAGGCGCCCAGACCCACACCCCAGTGCTTGGGCTCGGTCCTCTCATCATTCCTGTTGTCTCACTCACCTGCCTCTGTTGAAACCACCTGGGATTCACCTGGGCGTCAGGTGCACATCATGGCAGTGCTGCTGAGCGTGGCCCTCTCCTCCAATCGCATCCTCGTGCCGCTGCCCGCCTCCTACGGCCGCGCCAACTCCTCCCACTGCCACGGTCAGTCACCCACTGCCACGGTCACTCACCCGCCCTTGTGCTCGCACTCGCTCCCCAGCACCTGCACACTACCAGCCCCACACCATGCCCTGCCCCACGGTGAGTCACCCTGGGCTAGCCTAGCCCAGGCAAGCATCTCCCTCACTCCACCTTGTCACTTCCATCCTTGCCCGGCCCCACTCTGCCCTTCCCTCCTCAGCATTCCTTCCTTCCTTGCTACATCTCAATGTGATGTGCTTTCAGTACGCCTGCTACCACTGTGTCATCAACTCTTATTTCGCCTCCCTAGCCTTCCAAGTATTGCCTGTGCTGCTGTGCAACTCAGTGCATGTTGTGCGACAGCATTCGTTGTTTAAACGAATCCAAAACAGCATCTAGATGGTATACAATGCACACATTCCTTTGTCAGATACTTCTCGTTCGGAATGTCCCTCTCCAATCTTCGTGTATTCAAGAGACATCCTTTTTCGCCTTGACTTCTTTACCTTGAACGGACGCTGCCAGAGAAGCTTCTCAGTTAAGCTACCTAGTTTGTTGCACAACATGGAGCAATAGGCATGTACCACCGGTGATGCCTTCATGATTTGAAGTTTCAACTTGCATTCCCACTTGATGCAGAGCTACATAGGGATTCAGACACTGCTCACAAAATAGGTGAAAGGGTGTCTTCACATTTAAACTCATGTTCCTTGCCACAGGCGCACTGACACGACATCTTTGCTCCGCACTACCCACACGTGCCCAGCAACGGGCCGATCCTCAACTCCAACAGCTGCAACCGCCCTCACTTCTCTTGCCCGTCATCCCACCAATGACAAACAAATGATTGACCGCAGGCATGCCCAATGCAATGCCCCACACGCCCTCAACCCCCACCGCTCATCCCCCTCTGTCCGCCCCCACCAGCCATGGGCCATGGCAGCTCCTGGTCCTGCTTCTTCGCCCCCATCGCCTCCCCGCTCTGCTCCCAAGAGGTCGCCCTCGCCCTCTCGGCCAATCAGCTGCCGCCATGTATCGCCCCAGCGGAGGGCTACAGGGCGGCGGCGGCAGCAGCGGAGAGGGTGGTGTGTGTGAACACGTCGTCCCTCAACGACCTCAAGTTCGAAGCCTCTGCTGCCGGGTGCGTGGCAGACAGGCCTTGTACGGTTGAGGACGGGTGCAGAGCGGTTGGATGTGGCAGCAGCAGCAGGTGTCCATGGCAGGTGGCAAGTGCATGGATATGAGCTGCTGCTCACCTGCCTCTTGTTGCACTTAATGATCCTTTGCTGTTCGTGCGCCTGCTGTGCTGCTTGTGCGCCCCGCTGTTTGTTCCACCACATGGCACGGCACGGAATGGCACGGCATGGCACGGCATGGCACTGCATGGCACTGCATGGCATGGCATGGTACTGCAAGGCACTGCATGGCATGGCACTGCACTGCACGGCATGGCGCGACATGGCATGGCATGGCATGGCACGCACGGCATGGCATGGCATGGGTGGCAGGCTGTGGGGCGAGGCATACGCCAAGGACCCTGATGTGGTGGAACACCGAGGGGAGGTGCAGCTGGAGGGCACCGAGCACAAGAAGGTAGGTGGGAGAGGGATCAGAGGGTGAGCGGGAAACGCGGTGCATGTGGGTTGCTGCAAGATTACGCAACACCTCTTTTTATCGCACGAACCTTGCACCTCAGTTTCTCTAAGCACGGCATGCCATGTTGTGCCCTCACCTCGTTCGTGCAATTCTTCCTTTCCACGTCTTGCCTTTGTGCCCAACCTCCACTTGTTTCTTGCCGTGTGCTCATCAGCGGCTGCACTCCTGGCCGTTGCAGTAACCTCATGAGATTTCAGGGGTATGACACCCACTCCCACTCCTCTCGTCTCATTGTCTTCCCTTCTTTTTTGCCCGGTGCGCTGCAGCTACACTGGTGGCGGGCGCAGGCGGTGCGCTTCATGCTGAGGTGGCCATCAGCCCATCTCTGCCACGTCATCAACCAACAGAGACACACCGCCTACGGCATGCACGTCGCCAATCGCATCGCGCGGCAAGCAGAGCTTCACTCACAGCTGCTGCAGTCACTGCCCCCTCTGCCCCCTCCGAATGACTCAGACGCTCCCAGTGCCGCCGCCGCTGCTGAGGCCAGGGCCATGGCTGCAGCAGTTGCAGCCGCAGCAGCAGCAAGGTTTGCTGGTGGAAATTTCTCCACCGATTCGACTGCCGCTCCTGCTGCTGCTGCTGCAGGTGCTGGAGGTGGTGGAGGTGCGAGTGGGGCATCGCTTGTGTGTGAGCCGTACATGGTGCGGCCCATCATGAGCGTGCATGTGAGGCAGAGCGACAAGCAGGTGGAGATGGGTGTGTGGTCGTTCGCCGCCCACATGCTGTTTGCCGCCCGCCTGCAGCGCACCCTCGTGGACCTCAAGCACGTGTGGCTCTCCACTGAAATGCAGGCGAGTCAGCACGACAAGATCAAGGCACTGCTGCCCATGTGCTCTTTGCCGTTCCCATTCGTCCCTTCCTCTCTCCTACCATTCTTGCTTCCCTCATTCCACCCTGCTTTTCTTCCTCCTCTCCCTCACTGCCTTCCTCTCTCCCTCCTGCCTGCCTGTTTCGTTTCCTGCTTACCTCCCTGTCTCCCACTCTCCCTCCCTCTGCGCGCGAGTGGTGAGCGCGGGGCCAACCCTCTCATTGTTGCTACCCCCACTCACCACGGGCTGCTTGCCAACTCCCTCACTGCGCTCGCGGCACTCAGTGCCCAGCGAAGCCACCACCCTGCTCCCATTCCGCCCACCTGCCCACACCACACTGCACCTCCACACGCATAACACCCTGCCCCTCCCCCACCCTTCCTGCCACCACCCTGCAGTCGGTGATCAACAAGGCGGCCACACTCACAAATGCACGGGTCTGTGAACGTTCCTCTGCGCGGCCAACGGGCAACGGGGGTGGGCCAGAGGGCGCCCTGGGCCACCACGCGTACGCCGCGCGCTGCACGCGCCTGTCCTCACCGATCCCTCTCCGCCCTCCCCTCCCAACCACCCTACAGTCAGTGATCAACGAGGCGGCCATGCCGCTCTATGCGGGGTGGACCTTCCTCTACGCGGCCAACGGGCGCCTGCCAGAGGGCGCGCTGGACCCGCACGCGTACGACACGCTGCAGTCGCCCGCTGCCAGCCTGGCGAGCTTGCTCATCGCAGCGCAGTGCGACGTGTTCCTCGGGTCGCTGGGGTCCAACTGGAGTCGCCTCATCAATGAGCTCAGAGCGACCAATGGGCGGCTGTATAACGGGTTTGTGGCCATGAACCTGGGCGAGTGGTAATGCCATGACCATGGCAAGTCCCCTGCCCTTATAACATTGGAGTGAAATAATAAGGTCTCCTATTTATATTAATGTCATTTTCTCGATAGTAGATATACAAGTACCGTATGTCTTATCTCACACTGCTAATAAGATAGAGGGTGTTTTTTTTTCATATGGGGAAGGATGAGTTCCATTCCATACAAGCTTATCAACTCTAAGAGAGAACCAACATACGGTATGCCATTACATTCAGAGGATTGATTTGACATGCATCCATCCACACATGGTTTAATGACGATTTGACACGTGGAAGAAGTTTCTTCTGAGGTACAACTCTTCTTTACAAACCGATGATGCTTACAGAAGGGTCGTAATGGAGGCAGGGTGTTTGGTCAGGATAGGATGCTGCATAACACTACTTTTAACCACAGCAGAAGTTCATCTCAATTGCAGTTGGCAAAACTAACACCACAGCTACCAGCTTGTGTGTTGCTCATTCCCCATGGCGCTCTTACCACCACCATGACACCTCACAACTCCAACTGCTCACATACAGGGTGCTTTTGCAGCACATGCCATATAGCACACACCATGCGACACATGCCATATAGCACACACCATGCGCCACATGGCATATAGCACACACCATGCGCCACATGCCATATAGCACACACCATGCGCCACATGCCATATAGCACACACCATGCGCCACATGCCATATAGCACATACCATGCATCCCGACATAATCTATCTCAGTGGGAGTCGATCTCAATCCAAGCCCGCTGGATCCCACGCACTGTTCGTTCCACGAACCCGCACCCACCTACCCCAAGGCGAGCCACCTTCTTTCCTTTCAGAATCGGCAGCAGCCAAGCGTGCTGCATGCTGTTGCAGCCCAGGTCCAACTGCCTCAGCGAGGGAATGCGGCTGAGATGCTTCACGAACACCTTGCTCATGCCGCTGCACTGCTGCAGCTTCAACCGCTCCAGCCGCTCAAGCACACGCAGATGCACAGCAGCGCCGTGGCTGATGGCCGCTCCCGACAGGTCCAGCGCCTTCAGCTGCGCCATGCCTTGGATCACCGACCTCACAGCCCGGTCTGCTGCGAACGTGCAGGCAGGCAGGCTGAGGTGGGTGAGCAGGGGGAGGCGAGTCAAGAACACTAGGTCAGCATCATGAAGCGCCGTATCCGCGATGTGGAGGGACTCGAGCCACCTGAGGTTGGAGAGGGACTCGAGCCACCTGAGGTTGGAGAGGGATCGCAGTGCTGCTGTGCTGGGCTCTGCTGCGTGCACCTCCAAGTGCTGCAGGCCCGCTAGCCCACCCACCACCTCCCATATGCTGCCGTCGATGCGGTTGCCAAAATCCTCACTCGCGCAGGCAGCCCCTTTCTTGGGAGGCTTTTGGAAGGTTCTGATTACCTCTGGCAGGCGAGATCTCGAGAAGTCTAGCTTTGGCCCAACTAGCTTCGGCCCAAAGCGTTGGCCGTGGAAGGGGTTGCCGAAGTGGTGGTCGTTGGATCCCGGGTGCCTGGTGATGATTGTCGGCGCCAGCAGCAGCCTCTTCAGCTTCACCAGTCCCCTGAGGTGGACCCATCCCTTTGCACTCACCCCTTTGCTGCACGTGCAGGACAAGGCCTCAAGGCTCGTCAGCACCCCCACCTGCTGCAGAATAGAGTCAGTCACGCGGCTCACATGCAGCTCTCGCAAGCACTGAAACGGCTGAAATGGCTGGAGATTGCTGATGGTATCACACAGAGGGGACCGGCTGCCGTGGCGCTTGGGTGGTACGTTGGGAAGCAGGTCAAAGGGGTCAAAGCAGGCTACGACGAGCCGGTGGAGGCGAGGGATGCACTGCAAGAGTGGCAGCGCATCTGCATGGATGGAAGTTTCGTGGAAGTGAAGGGCTGTGAGGGAGGGCAGGCGGAGGAGGTGCCTCATGGCGAGCGGCGAGACAGGGTTGACCCGGCGGAGGTCGAGGGTGGTGATGGATGGCAGGCAGTGCGCGTAGCAGAGGGGCGTGAGGTGCAGGTACAAGGCGAGGGAGAGGTTACAGAGAGTGAGCTCTGTAGCCGTGGGGTCCTGGGAGGAGAGCTGCGAAACCACCCAGTCGATCTCCCGGGTAACTCTTCCCTGCCTGTGGGGGCGGAATTGCAGTATAGCATTGATCCTTCCCTGCAGCCTTGCCCTCACCTCCGCATTGCTGGCTCCGCTCCTCCCGAATCCACTCGCGCCACTTCTTTGCTCCCGGCACTGTGGGCCGCGGAAAGGAGTGGCTGCAGTGGACCGGTGGGGGAATGGGGGAGGGGTGGGATGGGGGCAAGAGCGGGGAGGGGGAATGGGTGAGGCTTGGGACAAGGGGCAAGAGTGGAAAGAGGGGAGCAACGAGGGAATGCGAGGGCGACTCAGTCATGAATGGTGCGTGTGAATTAGAGGGGAATTGGGATGGAGTGTGAGCGTTGGCGAGGAACAGAGGAAACAGGAAACTTTCAGCAGATGAGGAGGAAACGGAAGGGGAGGAAAAGACAGGAAAGGAGAGTCAAGGGGAGGAAAATGAATGGATGGGGCCAGATGGACACGTAAGCAAGTAGCAGGTGAGGGTCTCTGATATGAGGCCCTTCGGACGCGGTACTTGTAAGATCAGAAGGGATTTCTTTCACATTTTCTCATGCTTCTCAGCCACTCCAGGTAATGACTGTCGCCAACTCCCTCTTGTGCAGATGGCTCTCAACCCCCCTCCAGCCGTCCCTCTCTCCTCACCCCGCTCACCTGCAGGATGGGAAGATCGTCAAGAACCTCCTCTTTCACGCCTCTCTCCCTTGCAACCGGCTGCCTCACTGACTGCCTGTTCGAATCCGCTGCTCGCTCCTCCCATAAACCCTGTTGTGCTCCGTGCCTTACCCCCTGCTCTGCTTCTTGCCTTACCCCCTGCTCTGCTTCCTGCCCTGTCCCTTGCTCTGCTTCTTGCCCTCCCCCCTGCTTTGCACCTTGCCCTGTCCCTTGCTCTGCTTCTTGCCCTCCCCCCTGCTTTGCACCTTGCCCTGTCCCTTGCTCTGCTCCTTGCCCTAACCCCTGCACTGCTCCTTGCCCTGTCCCTTGCTCTGCTTCTTGCCCTCCCCCCTGCTCTGCTTCTTGCCCTCCCCCCTGCTTTGCTCCTTGGTCTGCCCCTTGCTCTGCTTCTTGCATTGCCACGTGATCTGCTGACCCTGTCACCCGCCCTTCCTCTCCCTCTGCTTCGTTGTCGTGATTCTCCTCTGCCTCGTCGCTTGCTCCTTCCACTTGCGTGAACCCAGCCCTCCCCTCAAACCCTTGCCTGCAAGTCTCATTCCCGGAAACCTCGAGCCCATCGCCCATCGTCTCATCCATTGCCTTGGTCGTTTCCTCCGCCTCGTCCCTCACCCCCTCTTCCTCCGCCTCGTCCCTCACCCCCTCTTCCTCCGCCTCGTCCCTCACCCCCTCTTCCTCCGCCTCGTCCCTCACCACCTCTTCCTCCGCCTCGTCCCTCACCCCCTCTTCCTCCGCCTCGTCCCTCACCCCCTCTTCCTCCGCCTCGTCCCTCACCCCCTCTTCCTCCGCCTCGTCCCTCACCCCCTCTTCCTCCGCCTCGTCCCTCACCCCCTCTTCCTCCCCCCCTCCTCGTTCTCCTCTTCCCACTGCTTCTGCATCATCTCCTCGTTCTCCTCTCTCAATCTATCCGCCTGAGCCTTCCGACCCTCGAATCCGAATGCCAGCCGCCTCACAGCCTGCACCATGGAATGGATGGCCTCCGCATGGCCGGATACAGCCGTCAGTTGCTGCCACGTGGGCGATCCGACGAATGTGTTAAGGAGGGAATGGGTGTGTGGGGGAACGAGGGAGAAAGGTGAGCGGATATTTTCCTGCTTGGTCAGGTTTGCCCGCCTGACTCACACGAGACGACAGGACAGGTGGGTTGGAGTCCTGCACACCTCACTCTCGGCGTTGCTGACCGAATGGCGTCCGCATAAGCAGAGAGGTTTGCCACACGGTGCAAGAAAAAAAAGGTATGAGAGCCAGGATAAGCAGCGGGGGGAGGTGGTGCGATGCAGTGATGCAGAGGCGGAGTGGCGAGAGGAGGCCAGGAAGTGGGAAGAGACCTATCAATTCCTGTCAGATGGTGCCGGGCAGGAAAATATATAGGCGGGGAAGGAAACAAGGGTGTGGCACATGCGATATAACGGACGGGGGACATAAAGCCAAGGAGAGAGAAAGGAGGTTGTGAAGGTAGGGAAGGCAAGGAAGGGTGGGCGGAGGGGATACGAGAAATGGAGAAAAGGGCGACGCCCATGCGAGAGAATAGAGAGACAATAGTAGAGAGAGAGGGAGCTTGGAGGCGCGAGAGAGAATGAGAGGGAGGAGGGAAATAAGAAGACGGTAACAGTGGGAAAAAAGAGGGAATCCGTGGCATGGCATGTCTTATCATGGCATGGCATGATGGCGCGGCGGCATGGCGTGGCCTGACGAGGGCGTTGAACGTGCCGTGAGCACTCACCTCCATCATCATCATCATCGGATGCGCGCACGAACCATCCGCCATGCGCGCGCGCTTGCGAGTTCCCTCATCCAGAGACATCACGGCTCTCGTGAGCCACTCCTCTCGAAGTACGGCAACTACTGACGACATCGTTCCCACCTTGCGCCCAATCCACTCGTCCAGCTCCCCCATCGCCCTCTCGCCCTCCCGCACCACTCCTTCCAGCTCCTCTTCCCGCCGCCTTGCCTCCGCCAACGCTTTCCGCGCTTTCTTCAGTTCGTCCTTACAATCTCTTTCACCCCTCCACTCCCTTTCGTCCCTCCAATCCCCCTCGTCCCTCCATGCCCTCTCGTTCCCCCCATCTCCAGCTGTCAAAATAGTGTCCATCTGATCTCAAGTTCTTCACGGCGTCGTTACCTTCGCACGGCACGTCGTAAATATTCGCGCACCAGTCACCTGGGAGCGACCAACGGCTTTCGACAGACGGGGCGAAGTCGCCACCGAGGGGTGATTGCTGGGCACGGGCGAAGAAATGGCCTTCCCGGTTGGGAGGATTGTCAGTTTTCTAAGCGACAAACTTGTGGGCAAAGCGCGTTGAAGAAAGAACGGCGGGAGAATGACGGATTGACGCTGGGAGGGCACTACTGACCAGAGCATTCAGCGGGCCAGGGATGCGACGCCGCTACCAGACGCATGCAAGCGGGTGAGGGATGAAATTAGGCAGATCGATTCGCTAATTCGTTCATGGAGGGCGGTGTGGCCTAGCTGCAAGGCAGTAACCATCGTTTCGTCACGAAGTTGATGGTCAAAACTCGGGTAGAAAACAGGGTCCATAAACGGGCAAAGTCTAGCGGGGGATGAGTTCTGTTGAAAAGAACGGCTTTGTGTGGGTTGGGAGGGTTGTTTGGTTCTTGTGTGTTGAGCTTGCGGATAAAGCGCATGGCGTGAAAAGCAAGGTCGCGAAGGGAGAACTGAGCATCGAGAGGGAGAAGAAGACCCACAGACGCGTTCTTGCACCGACAAGTTGAACTGTCAGATTGTCACAAACACCATCACAAGGGTGCTATTCTCTAAGGATGCTTGTGAACCGGTGACGGATTTCGCACTGAAGATGCATGCAATCTACCTCACATGGAATGCGTCTTCGAATGCAATACGGCGCCGCGTATTCCGCTTTGTCAGCGTCAAATTTTGAAATTCAAATTTCGCGTTTCCAAACCAGGGTTCGCGATATAAGACGAAATTGATCTGATCGGTATGACTTTTGTGCTCTCCTGAGCTCAGATTACCTACATGTCTGTCCCAGGGTTGTTTGAATATGTCGGCCATGAACATGGTGATGTGATGGGTGTGACCCTGTGAACGCAGTACCCATTGCCAGTGCTGTGGGATGAGCTAGTGGGCCGCACAATGGGGTTGTGGATTTATGAAATTGATGTGGATTTATGATATTGATACATTCAGCATGGTGAATGTTCCTACCACTTGTGTGCCACAGCAGGAGTCTCCCCCACAGAATGGAGTGGATGATGTGGTTGCGTACAGGTCGATGCCAAGCACCCGGCATAATGCTGCCTTGCATGGGCACGCACAGTGCTGCCTTGCATGGGCACGCAGAGATACGACATTGCTTTATACAGCATTTACGAAACAATACACTTCTCATCTCATCTCACCACACGGTACGTATCATGGAACATTAATGAACACGAACCGCGACTGTCTTCTACCCCCAGTGCACCTCATCTCATCCAAAAGCTCAGCCCACTCATCCCCATGCATGCCCACGAACGCATCGCACTGCACCACCACCACCAGCCGTGCCATCCGCTCCCCTTCCCCCCACCCATCTCCCCCCGCCTCCACTGCCCCGACCATACTCCCTCCTCCAGCACCCTCGCTCCCACCACTCTCACCACCACCCACTGTGCTGCCTGCACCGGCCGCAAGGGCAGCCGGCCCTATTGCAGCTGCAGCGCTCTCAGCAGCAGGGGAAGGGGACAGTGCTGCAGTGTTGGCAGCAGGGGCAGGTGGTGCTTGCTGCTGGAGGAGGCGGTGTGGGGTGGATGGCGAGGAGGGGGCGGTGGGTGGGGGCGAGGGCGAGGGCATGTAGAGGGTCCAGTCGGGCAGGTGCATGGTGTTGGGCGGAGGCAGCTGGGCAGGGGAGAGATGGGAGCAGGGAGGGGAATGTTGGGAAGGAAGGGAGGAGAAGAATGAAAAGTGAATTCTTGTGTGGAATGAACATGCTGAAGCGTGGACATGGCAGGTACGAGGTGCGCTTTTGACGTTTGCCACACTCCTCTCTCGCACTCGCTCATGGCCCTCATTACAACAACACCTACGCCCCACATTACGATGCCCACACCACAACCAGCTTTGCCATTGCCATGTGCACCCTCATCCCACCTGAGCATGCCAGCTGACCCACATGTGCCTCACGTCCACATCGCTCAGCCGCAGCACACTCGCTGCCATCACATGCACTCCCACCCCCATCCCTGATGACGTCACCACGCTTCTTCCTCCTCTCCCTTCCTCCCCTCCTCCACCACCACCAGCCCCCATGCCCCCACTCCCCCCCATCACCACACCCACCATGGGCCGCACTACAAATAGGGGTTCCCCTCCTACTCGACCATACTCGCCCATCCCCACCCCTCCGCACAGCTCACTGCACCTGTCGAACCCCCTCGCTCCCCACACTCGCGCCTCCAGTCCTGCCCCCATGCTGCTCGCCCTTGGCTGTGAGTCGGGATTTGATCCCGGAATCAGATCTAGCGTTGCAAGATCTGATGCTTCAGCTGACAAGGAGAGGTTCTGGGCGGCGGCTGGGCCTGCTGAGGTGGCAGCTACTGATTGGAGGATGGAGGCGTAGATGGCTGGGAGGGAAGAGATGTGATTGGCCACGTGGATGCCGTAGGCGGTGTGCCTCTGTTGGTTGATGACGTGGCAGAGATGGGCTGATGGCCACCTCAGCATGAAGCGCACCGCCTGCGCCCGCCACCAGTGCACCTGAAGCAGGGAGGGAGGAGGGGGGGCGAAGCAGAATAAGAAGCAGGAATTGATAAGAGCATCCTGTGCCCGCCACCAGTGCACCTGAGGGAGGGGGCGAGGGGGAAGGCAGAATAAGAATGAGGTGCCCTTCATTGTGCCGCGCAGAGGTGGGCTCGTTGCCAGGGAAGACAGGAGGGGTGGATGGAGCAGCATGGATGAAAAGCAGGTGAGAGGACTCCAGCTCCCAGACATACGGATGCTTCGCTAGTAGCGCACCTGCACTTGCATGCCCAACGATCCGTCACCGCTCAGCACCATTTATCACCACTCACCGTTTTTCACCAGTAACCGTTCTCCACAAGTCACAGAATGCTCGTTTCCGTGCCCCACGGACCTGTTGTGTGAACTCATCTGTGGGTGGCACCTCCCCCAGATACTCCCTCTGTGCCTGCTGCTCCACATGCCGCCCTCCCCAGCTGGCAGGAGAAAAGGCAGGCCACGGGGCGAAGAGGCGCAGGGGGCACAGGGTGGTGGGTGACCAGGACGGGATGAGGGGATATGGGGGAGAGATAGAGAGGGGCACGGTAGTGTGAGCAGGCAGGCAGGGAAGCAAGGCAGCGCCAAGCGATGCAGAATGAGTGTGCACAGGCAGCGTGGATGGAATAGAACTCCTGTGCTTGGGTGCACCAAGGGGTCACTACAACACATACACCATATAGAAGTATAGCACATAAGCTACAGAGATCAGACATGTACATTTTGGTTACTCGGGCCTCCACCGATGAGAGAGCAGCACTGCTGGATTGGTCCACGTCAGACGCATCCAAACACACCACCCTATCTGCTGACGTGGCCAGCTGCTCGAACTGAGAGGTGTCGCGGTGGCATGGCGGCATGCGACTGGTTGCCATAGCAGCGCTGATGTCAGCAGAGCAGTGAGGGGAGGCGATGGGGAAGAAGAAGCAGCCCCAGTCGCCCACGCTGCCATTGCTGCCCATGCCGCCCATTGCCTGGAACTCTGCCATGCCATGCCATGCCAGGATATACAAGAACACAACCGCATGCCATGAGTAGAGTGTGTGTGATGTGTAGCAGACACACTAGAGCCATTGTGAGGAGCGGGGACAGGCTTTCGGAAATCCATACGAGCCAGGGACGCCACAGGGATGAACAGTATTGGAATCAGGGGGGGAAATGAACTTCTAAGCTTAGAGAATGGGATGCGTTTCGGAAGGCAGTGGCCCTAACCTGCCTAGTGATTGGGGCTAGTGCCTCTTTAACCACAAGCACGTTCCCTAAAAGTTTTGATCCTTTTCTTTTCTGCCCTTTCAAAGAAATACTGTTACGACTGAACTTGTGAAGCACTCACATGATGACTTGGGGACATACGGACGCATGCATGGCGGCCACCAGCACGTGCTGCCTGTGCTGTCAACGCTGCCCCGCCGCCAAACACGCACCTCTGCACACCTGGCTGTTGGCTGGCTGGAAGGTTCCTGGAAGCGGCACGAGGGTTCTGTTGTGCAGCATGGCTAGGGCGAGCAGCGCTGCCATTCCGTGCAGCTGAGTGGCATGCGGGGCGATGGGATGGGGGACTATGGGGATGGGGTTGTGGTGAGGGGCATGCAGGGTGCGCGTGGTGAGGAGGAGTGAGGGGCGAGGATGGTGGGTATGACAGGCTGCCAAGTACAGTGCAGGTGGGCGGAGTCAACCGCCACCTCACCCACACTTCCAATTGGTCAACCTCCCCCTACTGTTGGGCGACAAGGTTCCGACATGCAGCCCAAGTCAAACCCTCGCGCAAAAACCACAAAACGCACAACACCCAAGTTCCGACGCCTCGCTGACGTCGCCAACCGCGCCGACGAAATTACAGCCCCGTGATCGAACTCGCCGCCCAATCCCGCATTGCAGTCAATCTCTGAATTTTCACGGCAAGGTTCACTTCTAAGGGGTTGAGTTACCAAAAAGACATTCAGAGTGTCGCGACTCGGTAGTGCGGATCGATTTGTGAATGCATCCTATATGATTGAATGTGGATGGGCTTGAGTGGCGAGGGCGGTGGGGTTGAGGGGGAGGTGGATGGGGGTGAGGGGACAGAGGAGTTAGGGAGATGGGATGAGGAAGGAAGAAGGCGAGGTGCGGTGGATGGAGGGCGAGGCGGAAAGGGTGCATGGGGACGCGGATGGCATGGCATGATAGCAGCACACGATGAGCGCGCCCACACCAGAAAAGCACTTGGAGTGGCGCTGAGACACACGTCAACACAACAGAGGAGCAGCTGAGGGCAGGTGGAGAGGCACCTGAGGGCAGGTGGAGAGGCACCTGAGGGCAGGTGGAGAGTGGAGAGGCACCTGACGTGCAAGGGAGAAGCGAGTGGCGTCGGGCCAAGGCGCGACCAGCAGGCGACTGTCCTGGCAGCCACGTGGCGGCATCTGATTGGTCCAGATGTCCCTTTGTGCCTCCCTCGTGTGCGCCAGGCTGTCAGCATCTGAGCCGCGCACCTGCCATGCCATGGGGTGAGGGCACATGCCATGGGGTGAGGGCACATGCCATGGGGTGAGGGCACATGCCATGGGGTGAGGGCACATGCCATGGGGTGAGGGCACATACCATGCAGCCACCAGGGGGCAGGGGCGCGCAGGGAGGGGCGCGCAGGGAGGGACGCGCAGGGAGGGACGGCAGGGAGGGACGGCAGGGAGGGGCAGCAGGGTGGGGCAGCAGGGTGGGGCAGCAGGGTGGGGCAGCAGGGTGGGGCAGGCAGAAGGTGATGAGGGTGGTGCTGTGTGGTCGGGATGGGGCATGAGGGCAATGGGAGGGGTGGTGCGCTCCGAGCAGAGGAGGAACGGCACGAGGAGAGTGGGGCGGAAAGCACAGAGGAGAGACGGGGCGGAGAGAGGATCGGAGGGAAGTGCAGTCGAAGGGAGGAAGAAAGGAGGATGGAGGAGACAGTGGAGCGCAGAGAATGGGGGATGGGAGGGAAAGGCATGAGCTGACAGGTGCGGTGTAGCGCGGTGCAGAGCGGCACGGCTCGGATCAAGCAGCGCTGTGGCAGGAGGGCTGTGTCGCTGTGAGTAGAGCCTGGGATGGGGAAACTGGAGTGCGAGTATACCCAGGGTGTCTGTGACTATACTCAGGGTGTCTGTGACTATACCCAGGGTGTCTGTGACTATACCCAGGGTGTCTGTGGCGAGCAGTGGCAGCAAGAGGGCTGCACCGCCCATTTCGGCAAACCCCCCTCCCCTTCTCCTCCGCCTCCCCCTCCGCTCCGGTCCTCCGCGATGAAGCGGTAGAACGACGCCTGCGCGCAGTCCTCCAGGTGCGGGGCTGGCGGAACGTTCGCGGGGAGTGCGAGCGGGGAGGGGGGGAGCGCAGAGCGCGGGTCGTCCGCGAGGCCGTACGCGGCGGTCCACGCGCGGAACAGCGACATGCCGTGCTCCATTGCGCCCGCCTCGCCCGCCACCGCGCTCGCGAGTTGCACGGCGGAACATGCGCAAATGCAGAGGCAGAGCGGCGACGGTATTGTGAAGGTTGTTGGCGACGCTTTCGGGCGATGCGGAGGCCCATCGCCGTGCGGCGTGCGACGCGCGGTGTTTCTGTCCATGGAGGCTGCGTGAAAGGTGCGCCGCTTTATGCGGCGCCCTGTGCAGCGAAGCAAGTGGGTCAGGCGATCGTGTGGGATCTGAAAGTTACCAGCGAAAACCATTCAATAATGGCAGCTACGTGACGAAATTGCAATGGGAAATGAAACGAGGAGGGCATTGAGAGCAATGTACAGTATGCGGTGCGGAATCTGTGTGCTTCCCCGTTCGTTTTGGAAATCACGTTCAATTCATATCCAGTAATATGCGTTTCTCTGGAAGTTGAAGGATCATTCACAAAGCATCACGAAGGTGCACGAAAATCGTCTAAGCGAATCATCTGTTGCTTGTGATTTCGCAATCTTCATTGCGGCAGAACCACCAGCAACCACTCGGTGCTGCTGGATTGCCTCATTCCGAAGGTCCCAAAGTCCCCTGCTTCAAGTGGTTGAGTACGATAATGTGCAATTCTGAGCAGGTTCCTCACTTCACCACTCTGAACCGCGCTACTGCGCAGCCTGAACATTCATGAAAAGCTTGTGGACGAACTTTCAGTCATGTGCCAATTCATTTATTGAATGAATTCACTTCATTCAAATCACCGCGTCAGAAACAATCTTGTTAGGCCGCCATAGTGTATACTCCTCGCACCGACGCCCATCCGCGCCTGTCGCTGCGGCTTCTGCCGATTAGCCCCACGCCCGCTCATCTCGAGCCAGGCCGCACCTCGACCACTTACATCGATTCCGTCTCGTGACCACTGGTGAAGTGAGGAACCTCCGTGCCTTGCTATCGCGTCGCGCCTCGCCGTGACACTCGTGCGCGCCGCCATGTTCGGGGTGCTCTTCCCCAATCGCAGCTTCCCTCTGGACGTGTCGCGTTTCAAGCAGGTCGACACCTTCCATTGGGTGCTCGAGATGAACATGTTTGTAGGTAAGCCCGTCACTTACGCAAGCTTTTCAATAAGTAGGCCATCAGGCTTTTTTTTACTTTAATACCCTTATAGTGCCTCAGCAGGACACCCGCAGTTAGCAACTTCCTCTACCTACGCCGGTCCCTCAATCAAGCATGATCCTTTGCGCCACATGTCCTGTCAATCCACGTGGCAGGCGACGCGTACGACCAGGTGAAGGAGATCTGCATCTTTCTGCTCAACGAGGCCGCCCTGCCGCCAGGCCAGGCGCTCGCCGTGTACGTGCAGTCGCCCGGCTCGCCCTTCGAGTACCGCGGCGCCGTCCACCTCGGCTGCCCCTCCGCCGTCCTCCCCCTCCTCTGGCCGGCCGCCGTCGCCCCTACCGGCGCCGTCCTGCCGGCCTTGCCGCCCGGCGGCGTCCCCCCGACGGCGCAGATCGGCATTTCGGTGGAGCCGATGGCGTCGCTGCCGCTGCAGAGCGTGGGGTGGCAGCGGCGCGTGGAGGAGATGGCGCTGAAGGTGGGGCAGAACCTGTTCAACTACATGCAGTCGTTCAGCACCGTGCAGGGTTCCATGCTGCTCGTCCCCTCCGATATCCTCGACCGCTGGTTCAAAAAGTTTCAGGATAAAGCGAAAATGGACCCTGATTTTCTGAATAGGTTTAATGTATAGCCGGCTGCTCCCCTGCAGCACTGTGGCATCTGTGCTCCGCAATGTGTCCGCCTTGCCGCTTCTCTCCCTTGTTCTGTACTGTGCCATCCCTTTTCCCGTGTGCATGTGCCTCCCTTGCTTTCCCACACATGCCATGGCTTGCAACGGATGCATTTCTGCCACTCCCTGCCCACCCATGTGCTCCCACCTCCCACCCTACCCCAGCCCTGCTCTCATCGCCATCCCCCAACCCTGCGGTCGTCTCACTCTCACCTCTCAGCCCGACAATCCCATCCTACACTCCGCTCCGCCAGCCCCCCCTGCAGACTTGCTCAACCCTCCCTCCTACTGCTGTCCCTCTCCCGTGCAACCTCACTGTCCCACTTATGCCATCATTGCTCGCTCGTGTGTCATCTCATCACACCTGTCATTGCACCACGCACTGGGCCTCGGGCCCTCGGCCCATCCCTTCCCCACCTTCCGCCACGCCAGCCATCGTTTCATCTGCCACTACTTTTCTCAAGCGCTCACATGCACATCAGAATGCGCTCACATGCACATCAGAATGCGCTAACATGAACATCAGAATGCGCTCACATGAACATCAGAATGCGCTCACATGCACATCAGAATGCGCTCACATGCACATCAGAATGCGCTCACATGTACATCAGAATGCGCTCACATGTACATCAGAATGCACTCACATGTACATCAGAATGCGCTCACCAGGGCTCACGTTATCAGTGTAAATCACCCTGATGCCCTGATTACAAGGGTGATTTTTGGTAGTAACACTGATGCTGTTGGGTATTTTTTTTGGGGTCTGAATTGTTAGATTAGGAGAGGACTTAGGAGACTAGGGTATGGGGGCTTGCATGAATGTCGAGAAGGTTGAGCAAAGAAGAGGGGTTCACTATAGAGTTGGAAGTACAAGTAGGCAAGAGCAAAGGGATAGGGTGCACCACCAACGGTTGATTCTAATAGCTAACTAATACACTAGCAAGCTGTAGACAGTTATAAGATATATAATTCAACACACCCCCGTAACTGCTTACGGCTTTAGCTAGTGGTGTCTGGCACCAGGTCGCCTGGAGAGTGGTTGCTGTAGCTGGGATAGGCACAGAAACAGCGGTGGCTGACCGGCAGCACCTGTGAAAGCCAGAACGGAGGAGGGCGCGGAGAGCGCGGAGGAGGGCTGGGATAGCCGGAGGGCGAAGGATGCTGGTCGCTCGCCATCTACGAGCAAACACAACTGTTGGTGAGGAGGAGGAAGCTGCTGGTGGTGCACAGGAGGAGAGCAGAGGAGAGGCGGCTGGAAGAGAGGAGATAGGAGGAGGAGATGCGGCTGGAGGAGAGGAGAGGAGGAGGAGATGCGGCTGGAGGAGAGGAGAGGAGGAGGAGATGCGGCTGGAGGAGAGGAGAGGAGAGAGGAGGAGGCGGCTGGAGGAGAGGAGAGGAGGAGAGGAGAGGAGAGGAGAGGAGGAGGATGATTGGCGGCGGCTCTGGGTATGCTCGTCACCCCTTCACCCTCCCCCTCCCGCCACCCACTCACCCTTCCCCCCCACGGCTGCATCCGCGGAAGGGAGAGAGGGGGGGAGAGGGGCGGCGGTTGAGTTTGCAGAATCCTTCTCGCCACCCCCTTACCCTCCCCCCCACAGCCCGCCACCTCCACCTCCACCCCCGTGTCTCCCCACTGGCCGCCACCCCCACCACCTCGCGCTAACACGGCAGCAGTCGCTAGCGCGGTTGGCGCTGGCGGGAGCATGGGTGGGGGGAACGGGGAGCCGCGACAGAGGTCGCGCAGGGCGCGACGGGATGCCGCACCAGAGGCGCGGCAGGGAGCCGCGATGGGGGTCCGCGGCGAGCGTGACGGGGGGGCACGCACAGTTCGCCGCCATGACCGTTGCGACCGTCGCGACAGGTTCAGAGACTGACGCGCGACGGGGGGCGAAACGAGAGAGGCGCGACGGGGAAGCCATGAGAGAATGAACGGGTGGGCCCATTTAGGTCCGAGGAGCTTAGTAGCTCAATACCATGTTAGATTAGGAGAGGACTTAGGAGACTAGGGTATGGGGGCTTGCATGAATGTCGAGAAGGTTGAGCAAAGAAGAGGGGTTCACTATAGAGTTGGAAGTACAAGTAGGCAAGAGCAAAGGGATAGGGTGCACCACCAACGGTTGATTCTAATAGCTAACTAATACACTAGCAAGCTGTAGACAGTTATAAGATATATAATTCAACATGAATATACCCTGATGTGCCAGGTTTTAAGTTTAAGGAACACTGTCGCCTCAGGGTTGCCTTTCCGCGTATCGAGGTTTACCCTGAAGCGCGTACCAGCGAACACATCCCCCCCCCCCCCCCCCCCCCCCCCCCCCCGTCCCCTAACCACCCGACCCCGAAACCTGGATTTTACCTTCGCCAACTGTCGAAAATGTAGATTTCGGCAGGACTTGACGTGTGCTGGAACGAGGTGGGCCACCATTGGCCAGAAACATCATCAAATCGTGGATGCGCACATCCCTTGGCGATGCTCGCCTTGGCGACCTCATGACGGTGCACATGCAGAAGTACCCCTACGTGTGGCCTGACGTGGTAGACATCTGGCGCAAGCAGAAAACAAGACGGCCAGCGAAAACAGTGGCCCTGCCGACCCCAGCGGAACGAAAAGGCAAGGAGAAAGTGCCGGAGCCAGAGGAGGACAGTGACCACGAGCAACAACCGTGTGGCATGTCTGATGATGATGATTAGGGTTGTTATTGTGTGCTGTGTTAAAAAACAACTTCAACAGGGTTTTGCGATATGGTACACTGATGCCTCAGGGTAGTCGTTTGTAATACATGCAAAAACCCTGGCGCATCAGGTTTTCCACAATGGGTAACCCTGAAAATCAGGTTTTTGAACAAGTGCTAGACTGATCGTAAGGGTTGGTCAAAACCAAACGTGAGCCCTGGCGCTCACATGTACATCAGAATGCGCTCACATGTACATCACAATGCGCTCAGCCCTCAATTTCGCCTCGCACCAACACAATATGCAGGTGTGATTGCAACAAAAAAACGTGAGGTGCCAACTGAACGGAAGGAGGTGTAACAGTCTGATACCGTAAAACATGTGGGGGACATACAGCAGAATCATGTGGTTTATTTGATAATTTCTCTGGGTGTACAAATCATCACTTTAGCACGTATCGAGATTTGCGCGCTTAGTGACGTTCGGATCCTCCGCCTTCCCAGCAAGCCAAGGAAACCTTCCGTCCGCTCATTCTCAAGCGCGCCGTGCGGGCCGTGCGTCCATGCCACGTTCGTGTAACCACCCCGCTGCGGTTGCGCGCTTCCCCATCCACGTGCCCTCCATGCCCGCGCGCTCGTGACTCTGGGAACGCGTTGGAACGCCTCGCGCGTGTCCGCCGCTGCCCGCGTCACCCGCGCTGAGCCACCCGCCTGGCCGGGTGGCGAAACGCGTCGGTGCGCGCATGGCGTCCCGCCTGGCGGCGCGCGCCCGCCCCCCGTCAGCGCCACAGTCGTGGCTGCGGCTTCTCCCGGAGGCGCTTCTCGTGCTGCTGGTGGTGGCGCGCACAGCCTCGCGCGGTGTGGCGGCGGGGTTGCGGGAATTCTCAGTGGGCGGGGAGGCGGGCCCCGAGCACGTGCTGTCGCTGTACCGCGTTGAGTACCCCCCCCTTCTCATGCGTGCATCGTTCCCCGTGTCCTCGTCGCCACTTGCTTTGGCCAAGTCATGATGCGAAAATCTCAAATCCGCCCTCCCCCCCTTACGTTTCCCCTCTCCCTCCCTTCCGTTCCATTCCCCTCCCCTGCCATTCGTCCTGCCCCTCTCTCCCCTCCCCCTTCCCCGCCTACCCTTCTCCTTCCCCCACACACACCCCCGCAGGCCTGGGCGGACGCCTACGGGCTCTCCCCCGACTCGCTGCTTCCGCCCTCCCCCCTCTCCCTTCCGCCCTCCCTCCCCCCCGCCCCTCATCTCGACGACTGCGCCGCGCTCACAGCGCTGCGCCAGCAGGCGGAGCAGCGGGGGGAAGGGGGGAAGCTCCCCTCATGGGCGGGGCCCCTAGACTCGTGCAACCCCTCGCCCCACCCCCCTTGGGTAAGCCGCCCCGTACCCTCCCCTGTTCCCCTGTTTCCCCCCCTTTGCCCTTACGCCTCGTCGTCCGCCAGCTCTCTTCCTCCTGTCCGTCCCCTTCCCTTCCGCCCCCTCTGTCCGTTCTCTGCCAACTCCGGTGTTCACGCCATTCTCCTCTCCCAACTCCGGTGTTCACGCCATTCTCCTCTCCCAACTCCGGTGTTCACGCCATTCTCCTCTCCCAACTCCGGTGTTCACGCCATTCTCCTCTCCCAACTCCGGTGTTCACGCCATTCTCCTCTCCCAACTCCGGTGTTCACGCCATTCTCCTCTCCCAACTCCGGTGTTCACGCCATTCTCCTCTCCCAACTCCGGTGTTCACGCCATTCTCCTCTCCCAACTCCGGTGTTCACGCCATTCTCCTCTCCCAACTCCGGTGTTCACGCCATTCTCCTCTCCCAACTCCGGTGTTCACGCCATTCTCCTCTCCCAACTCCGGTGTTCACGCCATTCTCCTCTCCCAACTCCGGTGTTCACGCCATTCTCCTCTCCCAACTCCGGTGTTCACGCCATTCTCCTCTCCCAACTCCGGTGTTCACGCCATTCTCCTCTCCCAACTCCGGTGTTCACGCCATTCTCCTCTCCCAACTCCGTTGTTCACGCCATTCTCCTCTCCCAACCGGCCCCCCGTCCGCTTCTCACCATGCAGGTGCGAGGGACGGACGCGGCCAATCTGGCGATGACACGTGTCGTGCAGCGGGACATCTGGGCGAACCAGTTCCCGGGCGGCTCATGTGCGGACAGGCGCCAGCTGGTGGTGTCGTGGCCGCCGGACTTCCAGCACGGGGTGGGGTCGCAGGTACGCGCGTGCAGATCAGTGGGCGAGTGCGTGGGTGCGTGCATGTGTGTGTGTGGCCGAGAAGATTCATGCGCACGGTTGGAGTCTTGATCAGGCTGCAGGTGCTGTGCTGTCATGGGCGCCGGCTTGATTACAAGCATGGGGTGGGGTCAAAAGTAGGTGTGTGTGTGTGCGCGCACGCATGCACGAATGCGTGTGGCAGTGTTTGGGTGGCATTGTCGGTGTGTGGCAGTGTCGGTGTGTGGCAGTGTCGGTGTGTGGCAGTGTCGGTGTGTGGCAGTGTCGGTGGGTGGCAGTGTCGGTGGGTGGCAGTGTTCTGACCAAACCTCATGGGTAAGGAGCTTTGCACAAATATAAAAAAACACTTGTCGCACATGCTCGTGCTCTCACAATCGCACACCTGTGCGATTCACACCCACCTGCGTGTTCCTCGGTCCATGCTACTTGTCTGCGCCATGCACCCATGCTCAGGTGCACGTGATGACGTCCTTCCTCAGCATTGCCATGCGCTACAATCGCACTCTCGTGCCCGACCCCTTGAACTATAATAGGGCATATACCGACCAGTGCGCAGGTGAGGGGCGATCACACCATAGCCGTGCCTGCAACTTTCCTTGCTCCTTGTACTCGTCTCAATTCAACCCCCTCCATCAACCGCTCATCAGCCGCTCAGCACATAGGCTCAGTCGGATGTGTTCATTCTGTTCGCATGGTACCGTTCCAGTTTCAAAATCCATCATTTCCTTCCGTCTATGTCATGCCAGTTGCTCTGTGCTGTGCTTTACCATCATCCCGTTCCATGAGCGTCCGTTACACTTTGCTTCAAAGCTCCAACAGAATATAACAGGCAACCAACCTTAGTTGGCATTTTACGTTTACGGGGGTTTACGTGTACGTGACTTTACGTAGTAAACCTACGTTTACTTACGTGGGCCCAAAACAGCTTTACGTTTACGGTCAGCCAGAAACATTTCTGACTGCCCGGAAAGATAGGAAATCATCCGACTAAGTGGCTGCATGGGAAGCGCCTAATCAATCGCTAGCTTGGTTCTTCTATGCCCAAGCATGTTAGACAATATTACATCAACTTACAGATGCCCCAAATCCACACCTACATGTCACAGCCTCTCCCGCCTCATATCAGTCAGATTTTTCTATTTCGCAGACAAAAAAGTTTTTTTTTGCCCTGCCCGTGCAACTTTACGTAATATTACGCGTAAGAAAACGTAGAGGCAAACTCAAGTTTACCCTTTACTTGACCCTAAAAAACGTAAAGTACCAACTAAGCAACCAACTGCTCATCCGCCCTCTCCCCTCACCACCATGCTCCTCACGCAGACATGGGCAAGTCAGGTCAGTGGGAGTGCTACTTCTTCCCACTGGTGGCCCTCGAGTGCGAGCGCGTGGTCATGGCCGCCAAGGACGCCAACACGGTGGAGTGGAGTGCGGTGCAGCTGGGTGCGCTGTGTGCGTCGCAGCACCGCGTGGTGGGCGTGGTGGGCATGCCGTACCTGGAGCTCGAGCGTGAAGCCACCATTGCCCTGTGCGTGCATGCATTGCATGGGTGCATGCGTGCATGGGTGCATGCGTGCATGCATTGGATGAGTGCATGGGTGCACGAGTGCATGGAGAGTGCGTGTGTGGGGAGACATGAGCGTAGCACCGAACCTCGAAGCAAACCGGTCCGATTTGTCCATTCAGCCACAACAGCTGGGCTCGAATCGAACCGACAGCACTGTCTGTCCAACTGTTGGATCGAGTTCGACTTATACTACCCACGCACGTGGAAGCAAGTGGGTCGACGTGTGTTGGGCGTGCGAGCTCGTCCCACCATCGCTTTGTTGTGAGTTGCACCTCATTGCAAAACTTCACGTCCCTAGAGCTGCCGGATCTTGATGTGCAACTTTGGGGGTCAGTCACCGCGCTTCACCCTTTTTTGTCCACAAAACCCAACCACCAGCCAAACGTTACTCATTCAAGAGGGCATGGGGGAGTCATTCAAGAGTGCCCAAGGATGGGAGGGCAGGGATGGGTCTAGCCACATGCCGGCCAAGTCATCCCTGAGACTGTTACCCTCCATCCCTCCCTCCCTCCCTCCCTCTGTCTTTCATGCCTTCACCCCCCCATCCCTCCCCCCTTCCCCCCCTCCCTCTGTGCGCAGGCGGTGGGGTCGGCCTCACTTGGACCGCCCCAGCACGGTGTGGTTCCCTCCGGGCGCCGCCGCTAACGATGACAGGACCCCTCAGGTGCGCACAACGATGACAGGACCCCTCAGGTGCGCACAGCACCAAACAACTTATCACACGGTCACAACAACAAACCCATCAGGTGTTTGCAACAGGAAGAAACCTCTCAGCTTCGGTGTCTGCAACCATCTGCTCATACCAGCCCTATGAGCTGCTTTCATCTGCCATCCCATTTTCATCCACTCTCTTCTTTTGACTCTCATGTGTTCCTCTTCAGATCTACTCCTCTCCCGTCCGCTCCTCCCAAACCCCCCTTCCAGGTGCACTGCCGGCAGGCACAGGATGCACCTTTGCACTTTCCTCATTCTTTCTTCTGCCCCCCCATTCCTTTCCCCTCCCTGCTTCAGGTGCACTGGTGGCGGGTGCAGGCGGTGTGTCTCTTGGCTATTCTGAGTCAACAATTTATCTGGCCCCACCCTCCCCCCCCCTCCCACTGAAGGTACACTGGTGGCGGGCGCAGGGGGTGCGCTTCATGCTGAGGTGGCCATCAGCCCATCTCTGCCACGTCATCAACCAACAGAGACACACCGCCTACGGCATGCACGTGGCCAATCGCATCGCTCGCTTCGCCGAGACCCAATCGGAGTCGATCGCTGCGATCAAAGCCACCTCTCACACCACCGCCAGCACAAACAGTACCAGCAGCACCGAGAGCAGCAACACTGGCAGCCTGGCTGCGGAAGCGGCGGCGGTGGGCGGCATGTCATTCGCGTCTTCTGACGTCCGGGCTGCACTGGCCCGCGCCCCATGGGCGTTCCACTCCCCTCCCCACTCCCTTGCCCAGGATCAAGCAGTGGTGCAGGGGGGTGTGGAGGGAGTGGAGGGAGTGGAGGGTGTGGGGGCTGTGGAGGCTGTGGGCAGTGGTGGTGGGAGGCGGTGTGACAAGGTGGGAGGAGGTGGCAGCAGTGCTGCTGAGGCTGTCAGCAGGCTGGCTGGTGAGGTGAGGAGAGGTGATGAGAGGAGAAGAGAGGTGGGAAGAGGTGAGGTGAGGAGAAGATAAGAGAATAAGGTTGAGGAGGAGGGGGAGGTGGGGATGAAGAGAGCACCTGTGGAGGGGGAGAAGCTGCTCAAACCTTGAGCTGCTTGTGAAAGAAATCCGAAAGCAATCCTTGAGCAATCCTCCTGCCCCTCTCTGTGCCACGTGCAGGTGGCTGGTGAGGCATACATGGTGCGACCGGTGGTGGCGGTGCATGTGAGGGGCAGCGACAAGGAGGAGGAGATGGGGCTGCTGGGGCTGCCAGTGTACATGTACTTCGCCCACCAGCTCAGACTGTTGCTGCCCGACCTACGCCACGCGTGGATCAACACCGAGTCCCAGGTGCGTGCTGCACAGCGCCTTCACATGTGCTGCACAGCGCCTTCACATGTGCTGCACAGCGCCTTCACATGTGCTGCACAGCGCCTTCACATGTGCTGCACAGCGCCTTCACATGTGCTGCACAGCGCCTTCACATGTGCTGCACAGCGCCTTCACATGTGCTGCACAGCGCCTTCACATGTGCTGCACAGCGCCTTCACATGTGCTGCACAGCGCCTTCACATGTGCTGCACAGCGCCCTCACACACACCCCGAAACACATAGCTGCACATGCGTGTGCATGTGCTCTTGTTCGCCTTAGTTTTTCTTCGCTTCCAGCATGCAAGACACGAGGCAGCATGCCTGCACATGTGTGTATCAAGTGAGCTGCAGGAATGGTCCTAAGTAAGCGGTTCACCCCACCGTTTCCCACCGTTCAGCGGTTTCTCCGTGAATGATGTCGCAATTCTCAACAACGCATCCCGCAACTCCCGTCGTATTCCCGCATGTCCATCCCCATCACGGCAGGCTGTGATCGACAGCCTCAACTCGTACCACGAGTGGACATTCCTGTACAGCAGCAACGCGCGGCAGGCCACCACATCCAACAACACGAGGGAGTACGACGACAAGCAGTCCGTGGCGGCCAGCTTCGCCAGCCTTCTCATTGCATCGCAGGCTGACGTGTTCATCGGCACGCTGGGGTCCAATTGGAGCCGCCTGATGAATGAGCTGCGCTTCACCAATGGCCGGCTCTTCAACACCTTCATTGCACTCAATGATGGCGAGTGGTGATTCGAAACCACAGGCTGCAATAGTGGAGGGTAAGCAACGAGCAAGGCCAGGAGGAAGACTGGAAGCTTCGTGTTGTCGCACCTTCTTTGTCGCCTGCTGCCCCATCCCCGCCTGCTGTCCCCCCCCTTCCTCATCGCCACGCCCCATCCCCGCCGAGCTGGCCCATCCATGGGACAACATCACCGTCTATCCCAGGCCCCACCCTGCCTTCGCCCACTCCCCACCGCTGCGCTTCCAAACCCAACCCCTCCACTCACCCTTCCACATCTCAGCACTCAACTGAATGGTTGGCAATACCCACTTGGACCTGTGAGTTTCTGCTGCACCTGGGGTGACCGCAGCAGCATGAGCACCGCATGGGCTCTCGTCGCTGAGCAGCAGTCGCTTCGCTAGGTTAGCCAACGTGTGAGCCATACGGTGGTAACAGATGGTCCTCACCATCAACAGCAGATGGGAGAATCTCATCATGTATCCCGCTTTTAGACCGGCTCTTCTTGATGGCCCAGCATGGCCATTCAAGTTATGTGGTTGCCTTCTCCTGTTGTCATTGCATCCATTCATTCGTTGCAAGACGGCTGCAGAACAAAGGCCGAATAAGGTTGCCTGCACATGTATCGCAGGTTCCCACAAATCAATTCAATTTGGAAACGAAAGGCGAGAGAGAGAAGCAAAAGAAGACAAAGCAAAACTTAACAAATAAGCAAGCAAAGTAATCAAATATGCAAGCAAACAAACGAAGAGACAATCAAACACACACACAACAGGGCCTCAGATTAGCAGAATGGTCAATTAGGTCAAAGGGGTGTCGAGCGAAATTATGTACCCCCTAGCATGCAACTCACTACAAGCTAAATAACTACACAAACATAACTTTGACACACCTCCGTACCCATAGCCTAAGTGAGATGTCAAGATAGCAAGCAGGAATGGTTGCATTGAATGAAATGTGGGTACAAGTACTAACACTATAGCCTACACAGAACTAACACATATATAGTTTGGGCTACCCCATATGGGCTACCCCACTATAGCCTACACAGAACTAACACATATATAGTTTGACACACCCCCATAGGCAAAGTGGGGGAGAACAAGGGGTCACAAGACCAGTCAAGAAAAGCAAAGCAAGCTCGGGGTGGATCACAACGTCACCACACACTCGAGCACAAGCAAAGAGGCCACAAGGCCAGTTCACATGCAGAGGTATATATGCAACAACAACAGTACAGTGATCACTACCTAGCAAGAGCAAACATGCAGGTATACATATATAGATCACAGTACAACCAGAGTCTACAGCAAGTGAGGAAACGTAGGCACCAGGCCTAGAGCAGTGCAGAAGCGCTGATGATCACCAGCCGGAAGGGCCTTGGTGAACACATCAGCAGTGTTGGCCCGGGTGGGCACGTGAGCGACACGAAGCTGACCACGCTGCTGCAACTCTCGAGCAAGGAAGTAACGCAGAGCGATGTGCTTTGTTCTGTGCTCCAGTCTGTGGTCCTCACACAAGGCAATGGCAACCTTGTTGTCGACGTACAGAACTGGAGGAGAACGAGGCCTCTCTCCCAAGTCGGTCAGCAGGTAGGTAAGCCAGCGTAGCTCCTGTGCAGCCATGGCTGTGGCGTAGATCTCAGCCTCACAACTGGAGCTGAGAATAGAAGACGAGCGAGTAGACCGCCAAGAAACAGAGCCAGAGCCAAGTCTGAACGTGTAACCCTGTGACGACCGCTGCGTAGCCAGATCGTCAACCCAAGAAGCGTCTGAGTGCCCAGTGAGGACAACTGCGCTTCGCCCTCTAAGCACGAGCCCCATGCCCGATGTACTGCACAAGTAGAGCAGTACCCTCTTCGCAACATCCATGTGCATCTTTCGGTGCCTACCAGGAGCCACGTAGCGTGCCAGAAGGCCAAGAGGGTACGCAAGGTCAGGACGAGTGCAGGTCATCAGGTACATGAGGCAGCCCACTAGCTCTGGGTACGGGCCACTCGGCTCTACGGACTCGTCCGAAGGTGGAGCTGAGAGCGAGTGGCCTGTAGCCAGAGGAGTGGACTGTGGCGAGGACCAAGTGAAGCCGAAGCGCTGAAGGACCTGCTGCACCATGTGTGACTGAGTCAGGGTGATGGTGCGGCGTGCTCTGTCCCGGGTGATTTGCAAGCCAAGGTAACTACGCAGCTCACCCAGGTCTGTGCACATGTGTCTCTTCTGCAGCTCCGACTTCACAAGGGCGAGAGCCTCAGTGTCAGCAGTGGCAAAGACCAAGTCGTCGACGTACACGAGGATGTAAAACGGCGGCAGTGAAGTGTCGGTGCGTAGAAACAGCGACGGGTCAGCAGTGGAAGGGGCAAACCCAAGAGCCGCAAGTGTCGTCCTCGGTGTGTCCTGCCACTCACGAGGCGCCTGACGGAGACCGTAGACTGGCCGACGGAGGCTCCACTGGGTACCAGGAGGGAACGACCCAGTGAAGCCAGGTGGGCGGCGCAGCCAGATTTCGTCGTGCAGACTGCCCTGTAAGAACGCTGTGCTGAAGTTCAGAGAGTGAAGCTCGTAGTCACGCTGAGTGGCAACGTGCAGCAACACCCGAAGAGTTGTCATCTTCGGGGTGGGGGAGAAGGTCTGGAAGAAGTCAACTCCCTGTCGCTGACTGAAGCCTCGTGCAACGTAACGAGCCTTGAAGACAGGCGGAGAACCCGGTGGCCGCTTCACCCTGAAAATCCACATGCCATCGACGATGTTCGCCCCAGGAGGGGGAACCTCATCGACGTAAGTGCCTGTGGACTTCCAGGATGCCATCTCTGCGTCCATGGCTATCTGCCACTGAGAGGAGTACTAACCCGCGATCGCCTCAGCGTAGGAGCGCGGGGTCGGGATGTCTGGGGCATCCGGGTCTCCCTCAGGGGCAAGCAGCATGGCCACGAGATGAGGCGCAGCGGCTGCAAGACACTCGAAGTCCTCTTGCCTGTCCTCAAGGACGTCCGTGCCAAGATCACACTCACCCCCGACGGACGGAGGACAGTCAGACCCAGACTCAGCAACAAGACTAGCAGCGTAGTCTAGACGACAGGCAGCAGCAAAGTCAACAAGCTCAGAGACTAAGGCAGACGCAACAGCAGACTCAAACGACGGGGCAGTGACAACAGTGGCAAGCAGACACGTAACAGTAGGGTGAGCAGCACGAACCAGGTCAGACTCAGGGTCCTGAACGTCAGGCAGAGAAGACGCAGGAGGAGACGGTAGGGGAACACGCTGTGGAACAGAGGAAGGACGAAGTGCCATAGCGTGCGTGCCAGGGACAGGAGGCGGACGCTCACGAGGAACACGACGACCAGTGCGACCAGCGCGAACAGGCGAGACAGGACGAGACGCAGGCTCACGACGCTCTGTAAGCGAGTCTGTCTGCTTAGTGTAAGGAGAAGGAGCAGGCAGTGGTGCGCCGGGCTGTAACGGGAGGCCAGTGGAAGAACCTGGCGAAGCACGGAGTCAGGCGGTGGCAGAGACGACGGTGACGGCGGAGCGAAGAACAGTCGCGACGGTGCAGGGCCACCAGTACCAGTAGCTCCAGCGCCTCCAGCAGCTCCAAAACCTCCAGCTCCAGCGCCTCCAGCAGCAGCACCTCCAGCTCCAGCGCCTCCAGCAGTTCCAGAACCTCCAGCTCCAGCGACTCCAGCAGCAGCACCTCCAGCTCCAACGCCTCCAGCAGCAGTACCTCCAGCTCCAGGGACTCCAGCAGCAGTACCTCCAGCTCCAGCGCCTCCAGCAGCTCCAGAACCTCCAGCTCCAGCGCCACCAGTAGCAGCACCCCCAGAACCGGCACCTCCAGCCTCACGGTCCCCAACTCCAGGGTCAACAGGACCAGCGCCAGGGCCTCCAGCAGCAGCACCCCCAGAACCGGTACCTCCAGCTCCAGGGTCTCCAACGCCAGGGTCGACAGAACCAGCTCCAGGGCCTCCAGCCCCAGTACCTCCAGCAGCAACACCTCTAGAGCCGACACCTCCAGCTCCAGGAGCAGTAACAGTCCTGGCAGCTCCAGTACCTCCAGTACGAGCACCTCCAGGACCAGAGACACCAGCACTCCCAGCGCCTCCACGACAAGCAGCTCCAGCAGCACGACTCCTCAGGCGGGTACGCGACGCAAGCCACTCTCGTGCTTGCTGTGGTGAGACAGGCCCGCGTCGTGAAACGAGACCCAGAGGAACGCCAGCAGACTCGGCACCCCCAGCTGCAGGGTCGACAGCACCAGCTCCAGGGCCTCCAGCCCCAGTACCTCCAGCCGCAGCACCCCCAGAACCGGCACCTCCAGCTCCAGGATCTCCAAGTCCAGGGTCGACTGCACCAGCTCCAGGGCCTCCAACCCCAGTACCTCCAGCAGCAGCACCCCCGGAACCGACACCTCCAGCTCCAGGAGCAGCACTGGTCCCGGTAGCTCCAGTACCTCCAGTACGAGCACCTCCAGGACCAGAAACACCAGCTCTCCCAGCGCCTCCACGACAAGCAGCTCCAGCAGCACGACTCCTCAGGCGGGTACGCGACGCAAGCCACTTTCGTGCCTGATGTGGTGAGACAGGCCCGCGTCGTGAAACGAGACCCAGATGAACGCCAGCAGACTCAGCACCCCCAGGCTCCGCACCCCCCGGCACCTCACGGACGGGCTCAGCACCCCCAGACTCCGCAGCCGCAGGCTCAGCACCCCCAGAAGCAGCACCCCCAGCAGCAGCACCCCCAGCAGCACCTCCCGCAGCAGCACCTGAGTCGCTAGTGACCTCTACAGGCTCAGCCAAGGGGGGCGGGTCTACCTGAGACACACCTGAAGGAGCAGGACCCTGAGTGGGGAGGGGGTCTACCGGAGGGGGACCTGTGTTAGAATGAACAAGTGTGTGTGAACTAACAAGATTGGGAGTACAAGTAGGAAACCCTAGAATGTTGTACCCCCTAAGGCTAAACCCACTATAGCCTACACAATGTAAACATATAATGTTTGACACACCCCCATAGGCTAAGTGGGG